AATTTTTATTTAAAATAAGCAGACATATAGTCACAAACATATGAAGTATAGGGGCACATAAGAAACACACACCAAAGCCTCTAGTGTCAGCAAGTATGTGACATCACCAGCTAGGCCCCACCCAGCATGTTGCACTACCAATCAGCATCGTCAGGGGAATGTACAGAAGTACAGAAATCAAGTTATGTGTAATAAAATGAGAAGGGGAAAAATTATTCAACACATGAAGAAAGGGAGGTGCAAAAAGGAATGGAAAGCCAAGACATTAGCTGAAATCTCTTAGTAGAAAGCAATCCTGACCCTTGTCAGTGAAAATTAATATCAGCTGATTCAATCTCAACTGATGGCCAATAAAAAGGTGACTCATTACCAAGGTGTCACATCTCAGATGGGTAAAAACAAAGAGCTTTGCAACCTTATTCTAGCAAAACATACTGATGGCATTGGTTACAGAAGGATTTCTAAACTTCTGCATGTTCCAGTGAGCACTGTTGGGGCCATAATCCAGAAGTGGAATGAACATCATTTCACTATAAACCGGCCACAACCAGGTGCTCCTTGCAAGATTTCTGACAGAGTAGTGAAAGAATTATCAGAAGAGTTGTCCAAGAGCCAAGGACCACTTGTGGAGAGCTTCAGAAAGACCTGTAATTAGCAGGTACAATTGTTTCAAAGAAAACAATAAGTAATGCTTTCAACTGCCATGGCCTGTATGCACGCTCACCATGCAAGACTTTATTCATGAAGAAGAAGCATGTTGAAATTTGTTTAACGTTTGCTGCACAACATTTAGACAAGACTGTGAAACACTGGGAGAATGTAGTCTGGTCAAAAATTTAACTCTTTGGACGCCATAATACACACCATGTTTGTAGGTCATATGGTGCTACATTTCACCCCAAAAACACGATACCAACAGTGTAGTTTGGAGGTGGGAACATCATGGTGTGGGGCTGTTTTTCACCATATGATACTGGCAAACTACATGTCATTGAAGGAAGGATGAATGGAAAAATGTACCAAGACATTCTTGATAAAACTCTGCTGCCATTTACCAGGCTGATGAAGATGAAACAAGGGTGGACATTTCAGCAAGACAATGATCCCAAACACAAAGCCAAGGAAAATCTCAAGTGGTTTCAAAGAAAGAATATAAAGCTGCTAGAATGGCCCAATCCAAAAGGAAATCTATGTTCTATGTTCATAGAAGAGGTCCCACGGAACCTTCAAGATTTGAAGACTGTTTGTGTGGAAGAATGGGCCAAAATCACACCTGAGCAATGCATGCAACTAGTTTCTCCATACAGAAGGCATCTTGAAACTGCAATTCCCAAGAAAGGATTTTTTAAGAAGTATTAAATAAATTTCACTAATGTGTTCAATACTGTGTCCCTGTGTCATTCCAATTTTGTAATACATAACGTAATTTCTGAACTTATTTGCTTTGTTTTCTTTGTATGTATGGATTGCATGGGTTGTTACAGACATGTGTAGAAAATTTCATGTCAATAGCACCTTTAGAAATATATTTACCTAGAACAATGGTGATGTTTTCAATACTCATTTTACCCGCTCTCTCTATATATATGGATATACATGGATATATATAGATATATATACAGTGAAGGAATTAAGTATTTGATCCCCTGCTGATTTTGAATGTTTGCCCACTCACAAAGAAATTATCAGTCTACAAATCGAATGGTAGGTATATTGTAACACTGAGAGACAGAATAGCAACAAAACATTCAAAAGAAATGCATGTCTAACAAATTATGCATTTATTTGCATGTTCATGAGGGAAATAAGTATTTGATCCCCTTCACAAAACATGACTTAGTACTTGGTGGCAAATCCCTTGTTGGCAATCACAAAGGTCAGACATTTCCTGTAGTTGGCCATCAGGTTTGCACCCATCTTAGGAGGGATTTTGCCCACTCCTCTTGGCAAATCCTCTCTAAGGCATTAAGGTTTGGAGGCTGAAGTTTGGCAACTCGAACTTTTAGATCCCTCCACAGATTTTCAATCGGATTAAGGTCTGGTGACTGGCTAGGCCACTCCAGGACCTTAATGTGCTTCTTCTTGAGCCACTCCTTTGTAGCCTTGGCCGTGTGTTTTGGGTTATTGTCATGCTGGAACACCCATCCACGACCCATTTTCAATGCCCTGGCTGAGGAAAGAAGGTTCTCACCCAAGATTTGACGGTACATTGCCCCATCCATCGTCCCTTTTGATGCGGTGCAGTTGTCCTGTCCCCTTAGTAGAAAAGCACCCCCAAAGCAGAATGTTTCCACCACCATGTTTGACAGTTGGAATGGTGTTTCTTGGGGTCATAGGCAGCATTCCTCCTGGACATGTGCTCTCTTGAGCAGAGGGACTTCATGAACATGCAAATCAGTGGATAATTTGTTAGACATGCATTCTTTTGAATTTTGTGTTGCTATTCTGTCTCTCAGTGTTACAATACACCTACCATTCGATTTTTAGACTGATCATTTCTTTGTGAGTGGGCAAACATTCAAAATCAGCAGGGGATCAAATACTTATTTCCTTCACTATACACAAACAGTGCTGAGCATGAATGTGTACACCCCAAAAGATTTGTCAGAAAACCTTTACTTTCCTCTCAGAATCAATATTTTCTATGGGACACTATACTACAAAATACTCCCACAAATGTGGGCCATTGATTGCAAAAAAAAATTGTTAATTTTCACACACAAAAAAGTATTTTCCTAACAAATTAATTCAAGACCATGTTGCAAAAATGAATACACCCCAATAAAAGTCTTAGGAGCAAAGCTAAATTTTTAGACAACAAAATCCTAATTAAAAAGAATTCAACTACAAGTGAGTCTAATTATTCATTAAACAGGTGTCCAGCAGACAGTTGATTATAAAAGGGCGTTACCTAACAAAGAAAACCACTTTCCATTTCATACTGTCAGCAATGGCACCACATAGTAGTGAAATGTCACAAGGCCCAAGAAAGAAAATAATTTCTTTACACAAGAAAGGTGAAGGCTACAAGAAGACCAGAAAAGCTTTACTTATCTGTCAAAATACTGTAGTAAAAGTGATACAAAAATTAAACAAAGATGGAACTGTTATTATCAGACAGAGATGTCCAGGCCGTCCATGGAAGTTAACACCTCGTCAGGAGCATCTTCTGACGAGAAGGGTTGGAGAAAATCGCCATGCAAGTTCACTGCAATTAGCTAAAGCAGTAGAAAGCCAAACTGGGGTGATTGTTTCCCGTGACACAATATGGCATACACTATAGAGGAATGGCATGCATGGGTGTCGTCCACGAAGGAAGCCTCTCCTAAAGCTCCTGCACAAAAAAGCCAGCCTAGAATATGTCAGGGCCCATGCTGAAAAAGAAGAAGGCTACTGGGACTCTGGGGGGAGGAGACCAAGATAAATGTTTTTGGATCTGATGGCTTCAAAACTGTTGCAAAGGTAAGGAGTACAAAGAAAAATGCATGGTGCCCTACAGTGAAACATGGTGGTGGCAGTGTCCTTCTGTGGGGCTGCATGAGTGCTGCTGGTGTGAAGGAGCTGCATTTCATTGATAGTATCATGAACTCACAGATGTTTCTGCTCTATATTGAAAGAGAAGATGCTACCATCACTCCGTGTCCTTGGTGTCAGGGCAGGAACGATGGAATGGGCAGGCAGGCCTATGGTACGGTCACGCTGCGACTGACGACAGCCACTACCCACAGACCAGAGTCCCTCAGGGCGCGGAGTCTAAGCCCCAGGCTACCCTTCACCAGGGCCCCTGATGGTGGGGATGGACTTGACGCAGCCTGAGACCAGGTCGCGGCCCCCGAGTGACCCCAGCTGCGATAACGACTGCCGCCCAATGGCGTACAGCTGGTGGGAGCATAGATGGGATCACGAGTAGAGTAGTCAGACAAGCCGGGTCAATAACAATGTGAGCAGACAGTACTAGACGGTAGGCAAAGAATACTCAGGTCACGGGCCGGGTTCAACAACGGGAGGTCAGATAAAGGGTTAACGCAGAGAGTAGTCTTGTCCAAGCCGAGTCGGTTACCAGGAGAGCAATGGGAACAACACAAGAGCTTGCAACAGGGCAACATACAGGACACAAGTGCAGAGCACACTTGCAGACAGCAGGTTTAAATGTGCTCAACCACACCCTTCTGAGGAGGAGCCGCAGAAGCCTGAAGGCATAAAGGTTTCCCACCATGCTTTGCAGAAAACCAAGATGGAGGCCAGCTCATGGAGATGCACAAGCTCTGAAGAAAGGTAGGACCTTGACACTGGTCATTGTGCACTTTTTCCAACATGACAATGATCCAAAACACATCTAAGGCCACTGTTGCATTTCTAAAGAAGAACAGGGTGAAAATAATCCAGTGGTCAAGTATGTCTCCTGATCTGAACCCAATGGTACACCTATGGGGAATTCTGAAGAGACAAGTGAGAGCATCACTCTCCATCAAGCATCCAGGATCTAAAAGAGGTCGTTCTTGAAGAATGGAAAAAGATAGATGTTGCAATACATCACCAACTTCATTCCATTACTAGAAGACTTGGTGCTGTCCTTACAAATCATGGAGGTCCTACAAAATACTAGGTGTAGTTATTGTTGTGGGGTGTATTCATTTTTGCATCAATTAATTTGAGTAAAACTGAAGATTTTGTAATCTAAGTTATATTATTAACCCTTTTTCATGTAATCAGATAAACAAATGTGCTATAAAACTCAGTTTTTGTAACAATTTTGGAAATTGTTCTTGTGCTCATTGATATATTGATTAAAATACCACTTTCCAAAAGTGGTGTACTCATTTATTGTATTTATTTATTTATTTTTTACTAATTGTATCTTACAAATAGAGATGAGCGAATTATTCAAAAATTCGATTCGGCTGATTCGCCGAATTCGCGGAATAAATTCGATTCGATGCGAATATATTCGCTGCGAATTTAACTTATAAAAAGGGTGTTTTCTAGGCTTCAGAGAGCCTTTATATTAGTGCAGAACACTGTGCCTTTAATTTAAATGCCCTTGGAGTCTGCTGGGGAAGAGAAATAATACTGTCAGTCAGTATGACATGCAGATGAGTGCCGTCGATCTTAGAATCACCGCACACTTCACTCATTTGGGCAGTCACGGGGCCAAAACCAGAGTGTGGAGCCACAGTGTGGCGGTGGAGGTAGCAGCAATGGGAGGCCATACAGCACCCTATGACAAAATGGAACCCACCAGCAGTGTGAGGAGACCTGAAAGTGGCACATGGCAGAGTGTGGCGATGGAGACAGCAGCAATGGGAGGCCGTACAGGGACCCATGACACACTCTGGACCTGGCAGCAGCATGAGGAGGCGGTACAGGGGCCCATGACAGATTACGGGCCTGGCAGCAGCATGAGGAGTCGGTACGGGGGCCCATGGCAGATTACGGGCCTGGCAGCAGCAATGGGAGGCCATACAGCACCCTATGACAAAATGGAACCCACCAGCAGTGTGAGGAGACCTGAAAGTGGCACATGGCAGAGTGTGGCGATGGAGACAGCAGCAATGGGAGGCCGTACAGGGACCCATGACACACTCTGGACCTGGCAGCAGCATGAGGAGGCGGTACAGGGGCCCATGACAGATTACGGGCCTGGCAGCAGCATGAGGAGTCGGTATGGGGGCCCATGGCAGATTACGGGCCTGGCAGCAGCAATGGGAGGCCATACAGCACAATATGACAAAATGGAACCCACCAGCAGTGTGAGGAGACCTGAAAGTGGCACATGGCAGAGTGTGGCGATGGAGACAGCAGCAATGGGAGGCCGTACAAGGACCCATGACACACTCTGGACCTGGCAGCAGCATGAGGAGGCGGTACAGGGGCCCATGACAGATTACGGGCCTGGCAGCAGCATGAGGAGTCGGTACGGGGGCCCATGGCAGATTACGGGCCTGGCAGCAGCAATGGGAGGCCATACAGCACCCTATGACAAAATGGAACCCACCAGCAGTGTGAGGAGACCTGAAAGTGGCACATGGCAGAGTGTGGCGATGGAGACAGCAGCAATGGGAGGCCGTACAGGGACCATGGACACACTCTGGACCTGGCAGCAGCATGAGGAGGCGGTACAGGGGCCCATGACAGATTACGGGCCTGGCAGCAGCATGAGGAGTTGGTACGGGGGCCCATGGCAGATTACGGGCCTGGCAGCAGGAATGGGAGGCCATACAGCACCCTATGACAAAATGGAACCCACCAGCAGTGTGAGGAGACCTAAAAGTGGCACATGGCAGAGTGTGGCGATGGAGACAGCAGCAATGGGAGGCCGTACAGGGACCCATGACACACTCTGGACCTGGCAGCAGCATGAGGAGACGGTACAGGGGCCCATGACAGATTACGGGCCTGGCAGCAGCATGAGGAGTTGGTACGGGGGCCCATGGCAGATTACGGACCTGGCAGCAGCATGAGGAGGCGGTACAGGGGCCCATGGCAGAGTGGCGGAGCGTAAGCAGCTAAAATTGAAGGCCATACAGAGGCCTATGTTAAAAAGTCCCCCCAGCAGCAGCGTGGGGAGACGACTAATAGTCGTCTCCCCACGCTGCTGCTGGGGGACTTTTTAACATAGGCCTCTGTATGGCCTTCAATTTAAGCTGCTTACGCTTCGCCACTCTGCCATGGGCCCCTGTACCGCCTCCTCTTGCTGCTGCCAGGTCCAGAGTGTGTCATGGGTCCCTGTACGGCCTCCCATTGCTGCTGACTTCATCGCCAGACTCTGCCATGTGCCACTTTCAGGTCTCCTTACACTGTTGGTGGGTTCCATTTTGTGATAGGGTCCTGTATGGCCTTCCATTGCTGCTGCCTCCACCGCCACCCTGCGCCATGTGCCTCTGTCGTCTGCTCACGCTGCTGACGGCTTCCGCTTTTTAACCGAGGCCTGTGTTTGGCTTCCGAATACTGCTGCATCCACCGCCGCCCCCTGCGCCATGTGCCTCTGTCGTCTGCTCACGCTGCTGACGGCTTCCGCTTTTTAACCTAGGCCTGTGTATGGCTTCAGAATAATGCTGCCTACACCGCCACCCTGCGCCATGTGCCTCTGTCGTCTGCTCACAGCTGCTGCCAGGTCCATACTGATTCATGGCCCCCCTGTACCGGCTCCTCATGAACGTGGTTCAGCGGGTTTGCATCACTTAACGGCAAATCGTTGACAAACGCTGGGACGTTCAGTGTTGGGCGCATTAAGCCAGACACCAAAGGGCAGCACAGACCTGTTATTACTCGCTCAAGCATGGCTGAACAAAACCAGTCTCTACCACAAATTGGACCCAGACCTGCCCGGGGTCTCGTAAGTAGATTGCACGGAGGAGTAGAGTTCGTTATTGGAATTAACTGTGAGGGACTTTTAAACCTAGGCCTGTGTATGGCCTTCAATTGAAGCTGCTTCTGCTCCGCCACTCTGCCATTGGACTCTTGATAGTCGTCGACTATCAAGAGTCCAATGGCAGAGTGGCGGAGCAGAAGCAGCTTCATTGAAGGCCATACACAGGCCTAGGTTTAAAAGTCCCTCACAGTTAATTCCAATAACGAACTCTACTCCTCCGTGCAATCTACTTACGAGACCCTGGGCAGGTCTGGGTCCAATTTGTGGTAGAGACTGGTTTTGTTCAGCCATGCTTGAGCGAGTAATAACAGGTCTGTGCTGCCCTTTGGTGTCTGGCTTAATGCGCACAACACTGAACGTCCCAGCGTTTGGCAACGATTTGCCGTTAAGTGATGCAAACCCGCTGAACCACGTTCATGAGGAGCCGGTACAGGGGGCCATGAATCAGTATGGACCTGGCAGCAGCGTGAGCAGACGACAGAGGCACATGGCGCAGGGTGGCGGTGTAGGCAGCATTATTCTGAAGCCATGCACAGGCCTAGGTTAAAAAGCGGAAGCCGTCAGCAGCGTGAGCAGACGACAGAGACACATGGCGCAGGGTGGCGGTGGATGCAGCAGTATTCGGAAGCCAAACACAGGCCTCGGTTAAAAAGCGGAAGCCGTCAGCAGCGTGAGCAGACGACAGAGGCACATGGCGCAGGGTGGCGGTGGAGGCAGCAGCAATGGAAGGCCAAACAGCACCCTATCACAAAATGGAACCCACCAACAGTGTAAGGAGACCTGAAAGTGGCACATGGCAGAGTCTGGCGATGAAGTCAGCAGCAATGGGAGGCCGTACAGGGACCCATGACACACTCTGGACCTGGCAGCAGCAAGAGGAGGCGGTACAGGGGCCCATGGCAGAGTGGCGAAGCGTAAGCAGCTTAAAATTGAAGGCCATACAGAGGCCTATGTTAAAAATAATAACATGTTTGGGGCATGATTCATTATCGTTGGCCCAGTAGTCAAGGGGATTGTCTACCTCGGTTGGCATTGGGTGCTGTCCAACGTAGGCCCAAGCCTGTTGTTTGAGGTCCTGCTCCAGGTCCACCCTGATGCTGCTGCTGCTGAGAGCGGCTGGTTAGTAGTTTTCCTTCACTTGCGCTGGTGGAAGAAAGCTACTCATCTCGACTGCAGACTGATGGCAGCCGCTGCTGGTGGAGCTGCCACTGCTCCTACCACCCCCACCCCTCCCCTGCTGCCATGCAGCGGAACTGCGAGCGCACAGGGCCCCGCCAGTGTACCCCCCTGATGAATGACGTTTGGCGCAGAAAGGCAGAGACCAACCCTGACTACCTAGGTGGTTTTTTTATATTAGGTACGATTATTTTGGCCTCCCTCTCAGCAGGTGTGAAAAAAAGGCCACCCATTTTTTGATCGGTACGAGGGGTTCCCAACAAGAGGGAAACAGCCCAATAGTTCATCCCTCTGTCTGAAGGGTTAATATTGGGCTGTTCCCGCTATACGCAAGCAAAACCGAGCATGCTTAAATTTGGGCCATTTGTGGCCAAGGAATTTGCGAGGGGACTCCCCTGGCCTCCACTCCACAGCATACTGCCACGGGCGCGGGTCCTCTGCCCCTCCTCCTCTACCAGATGCCCCCTGCTCCTCCACTCCTGGGCCCTGAGTGGGAAAAACCACCCATTTCACTCAATAATTCCCGACACCAAAGCCTCCCTACCTCCTCCTCTTCTTTCCCGTCCTGCCCCACAGGGGCATGGGCGTTGAGACTTTGGGCCACGCTACCCACCCTGACCAGCCATTGTTAACAGCATTTGTTTCCAGGGCTGCAACAGAAATACGTCGTTCATCCCATATCCCCGACTCAAAAATACGGG